TCCAGTCTCTTCTTAAAAACTTCCAGTATTGGAGCATTCACAGCTTCTGGAGGCAGGATGTGGAACACTGTTTTTTATTTGTTGAAAAGGGAGGAGTTTATTGTCAATAAAAGATGACAAAATTCTAAAGAACAGAATTACCCTTTTAAAGAGAAAGCAGAGAAATAAAAATAAAAATGAGGAATTTGCCACTGTTGGATGGTTTGATTACTGAGATCCTCTCGTCTTGTGACATTTATCTGATGCCAGAATCAATTCACAAGCTAATCATTAAGCAGACTTAAGTATTTTATGGCCACAACTGTTTTAGATATATTATCTCACCTTTCCCCAGGAAGTAAACATTTATTATCTTTAAATAATGCCCATATTAGGCTTTATTCTCTCGGAGGATTTAAAAAATAACTTGTTTCTAGGTGCTGCTTGGAGGTTTGTGTTTATAGAAGTAGTGGGGAATCCAATTGCAGTCTTTTTTGAATTAGGCAAAGATATTATATGACACTGTTTCTGCTGAGCAGTTCTTTTCTGTAGAAAGTGATGCACCATCGAAAGTGACTTGAAAAATAGCCGAAATCTGTTCCCGTTTTTGTTGGGACTTTTCCTAATCCTCTCGCCTCAGCTGTAAATTATTTAGAGTTTCCCCAGAGTTTCATTCCTTGTTCTAAAAAGCTGCAAACCTTAAAAGAAGAAAAAAGAAAACAAAACAAACCAAACCAATGGAAAGTGTGCACCCCTATCCTTGTTGGAGAATAAAAATTGGAATTTTAAATTGTTGGCAAGCAAAGGAAGAGCAAGACATGAAATAAGACAGCAGTTTTTTTGCCTTCTAAAAAGAAATGAAAAGAAGGAACAGGGGGGACATGATAAGGGTCTTTCAATATTTGAGGTGCTGCTACAAAGAAGAGGGGGGTCAACCTATTATCCAAAGCACCTGAAGGCAGGATAAGAAGCAGTGGATGGAAATTAATCAAGGGGAGATGCAAGCTAGAACTAAGGAGAAATTTCCTGACAGTGAGGACAATTAATCAGTGGAACAATTTGCCTCTAGGAGTTGTGGGTGTTCCAACACTGGAGGCTTTTAAGAAGAGATTTGACAGCCATTTGTCTGAAATGGTACAAGTCTCCTGCTTAAGCAGGGGGTTGGACTACTAGAAGATCTCCAGGATCCCTTCCAACTCTATTAATCTATTATTCTGTCTTATTTGCATTTATTTTCCCCCCATTCAATCGTGTCACATTCTCAATACTGCTTGGGCGAGTCCTTGCAGTTTTCTTGGCAAGGTTTTTCAGAAGTAGTTTGTCATTGCCTTTTTCCTAGGGCGGAGAGAAAACAACTGGCCCAAGGCCATCCAACTGGCTTTGTGCCTAAGGCAGGACTAGAACCCACAGTCTCTGTTAACTAGGGCACCAGTCTGGCTCTCTATTTGTAATTGCATACTCATAAATCCTTTATGGGATTACTTTTCTGATTCAACCTTTGTGCACACCAGCAATTCTACTAATGTGCTTTTTAATTTTTTTAATACGAAAGAGAAAAAAATTAGGAAAGGAAGCCCTTTTATGTCCAAACATGTGTGTGTCATATCAAATTATTCAGTTAAAATCTGAACACACGCGTACAAACTAATATGTTCAGTTTGTACTAGTACCGTAACTATTTCTTCCAAGTGCTGGAAAGAAGCTTGTTTAATTGTAGAACAAGAAGCAAATTCTTCATAACTTGATCCTTGAATCGGCAAGGAATTTCCAGGACAAGCTAGCTGATTTAATCTTGGTGTAAGCAGCATTAAAGTTTCATGGAAAACCAAATCTTCCCTATTTTTCTTTCTTTCTTTCTTTCAGGAAAACCGACCGGTTCCTGAACCTGGTCCTAATGGTAAGTTGGGATGTTCACTTTTTGGAATAGCGGCATTTCGTTCTCAGCTGGTTTGGTCAACGGGCGTGTTGAAGGGAGGTGACCAATAGGTCTGGGTGGTGAAGGTTGAGTTCCAGGGAACGGTTGTTACTAAACCGGTCTCATTTATTTGCCAGATTTTTATCTTCACCCTGGTTTATTTATTATGCATTCTGTAGGGTAAATATTATTCAGTGAAATGTAAAAAATATGAAGCGTTTGAGGGTTTTCCTCAGCTTGTTTTTCTGTTTGCAATTTTTTCATTACCCAAACTGAGGTAGCCTCATCAGCGCTAGTAACAAAACATCTGCAGGAAAACAACCAAGCTCAGAGAGCACCAAGGACCCCTCATTTCAGCCCTGAATTACAAATATTCTCCTTTAGTGGTAAGAATGTCTTGGGATTCTATGTATACCATATAAGACATATACAAAAAGAGAAGGTCAAAGGACATGGGACAGAAGAAGATGAAGAGACAACACGAAAGTCACGCTATGACAGCATCAAAAAACTATGGCTGAGGCTGCCAGAAATGCAGGACATAGAACTTTGTATCTGCTTTCATACCCAAGGTGGTAAAAGAGGGAGATGAGGAGAAATAGAATAGAATAGAATGGAATGGAATGGAATAGAATAGAATAGAACAGAACAGAACGGAACGGAACGGAACGGAACGGAACGGAACGGAACGGAACAGAACAGAACAGAACAGAACAGAACAGAACAGAATAGAATAGAATAGAACAGATGGAATGGAATTAGTAGAGTAGAGTAGAGTAGAGTAGAGTAGAGTAGAGTAGAGTAGAGTGGAGTGGAGTGGAGTGGAGTGGAGTGGAATGGAATGGAATGGAATGGAATGGAATAGAATAGAATAGAATAGAATAGAATAGAATAGAATAGAATAGAGCTGGAAGGGACCTTGGTGGTCTTCTAGTCCAGCCCCCTGCTGAAGCAGGAGAACCTATACCATTTCAGACAAGTGACTGAAGAAGAAGAAGGAGAAGAAGAAGGAGAGAGAGAAGGAGAAGGAGAAGGAGAAGGAGAAGGAGAAAGAGAAGAAGAAGAAGAAGAAGAAGAAGAAGAAGAAGAAGAAGAAGAAGAAGAAGAAGAAGAAGAAGAAGAAGAAGATAACAATAAAATCTTGAAACTCCTCCCCCTTCATCTAGTCCACGACTAGAAGTGATTAGTCAGTTAGGCAGGTGTCTGAGCTGCTTCCAGATGTTACTTGGATGTTTTGCACTTAAACAATACTTTAGCCCCCTTTGCCCAGGCAACAGCACCTCCATATCTCCATCAGGATCATCTCATGTCTTCAACCCTACACAGTGTTTCTTATATCATTGTGATAAAATTGCCCAAGCTGTGGACACCAGTGAACTGGATGAAAAGTTCAGCTAGGAAACCACTTGCCTGGAGGAGTCTCGCAGCTTGCCTCGGTGTGAGCCGACAAAGCATGGCCTGAAGCTATTAGTACTGGTACAGCTATTGCAAAACCATGTTCTAGTGTGACTCTTTTACATGATGGGCTTTCCAATTTCCTCGATTATGCCTGTATGCCCACCATGAATCAGTGTCCGGGAAATTGGAGTTGCCCCACGGTTTGACTCAGCAGTTCTGGAAGAAATAGGACACAGGTGGATTTCAGGGCATAACTTGATAGGTAACCTGAGTCAAAAAACATCTAAGTTATGTCTGATAATTCTGTCTCTGAAATGTTCTGTCAATCTCATGCAAGACTAGGGGCAAGGAAAGCCAACCATTTCTTAATGCATTAGAAATATTCAGATATCTTTGTAAATATGTCACCCTTTTGCTGTTGTCTTGGAACTGGATTGGATCCAGACTCATTCTTTCAATAGACCTTTGAGATTTGGATGGTCCCAACCCAACTGGGTCTCCAGAAGGCTGTCAAAACCTGGTGCTTTCAACAGGACTTTGGGGAAAGCATAATGGCGTACTCAGTGCTTTTCTTGTAAAAAAAAAAAAAGGTGCCGGAACTCACACACGTTATACAACCCGCCTTGCCTACCCTCCACGGTTCCATCCAAAAAAGGTGCCGGAACTCCGTTCTGGGCGTTCTATGACAAAAAAAGCCCTGGGCGTACTGTTCGCTACCACAATCTGAAAATTAACGAAAGCCAAGTTTTCTTGATCTCTGATTCTCGTGTTTCCCACGATATAGGAAGTCCTTGATTTGCAACTGGTCGCTTAGCAAACCGTTCAACATTACACCTGACTTTCCTTGAGTCTACCTATGACCTAGATTTGAAGTTCCGATGGTTGGACACCTCCCCCCCCACCGTGTGACCGAACTTCCAGTGCTTGGCAACACAACTGAGTTTACGGCTGCAATGTCTCATGGTCACGTGACCAGATTGTATGATAGTTTTTGTAGGCTCCACAATGGTTATAAGTCAAGGACTACCTGTGTTATTATTTGGGTTTTTAGCTCTGCAATTTTTAATCTCGTTTATCTAAACAGGGCATCTCAGCTGCTCTGAGTTGATTTTAATCATAGCCGTGTATGGATCCATTTCTACTTAAAGGGATTTAGATGAACTAATTAAACACATTTCTGTTGCTCTTGAAAAATCTGCCCCTCTTTACATTGTAAGTAATAAGGGTTCTTGAAGGCGATTTCACTCTCTGATTTATCTCTTTTGTAACAGAAGTGCTTTTGAAAATGCACTCTGTGGGAATCTGTGGGTCTGATGTGCACTACTGGCAACATGGACGAATTGGGAATTTTGTGGTGAAGTCTCCAATGGTGCTGGGGCACGAAGCTTCAGGAACCGTTATTAAAGTAGGGTCTTCGGTGACCAAGTTAAAGAAAGGTGAGCTGAAGCTGTTCCCTTCCATCTTAGTATCTGATGAGTAAAGATTGATCAGCATTCTTAATTGCTTCTGATTTGGGACAAATAAAATAATTTGAAAAAAATAGTGGAATCAAGAAAAACAATGGTCTTATTTTGGGCAGATTTATTTATTTATTTTCTGTGGTGACTGTACCCGATTCTTTCTTGTCCCTTTCTCTACAATCCCTCCCTCTGTCCCTGAACTTCCAAACCAACCCACAAAGTATTATTTGGCCTTTGGCTTAAAAAAAAGTTGGGCAACCACGGTTTGTAGAAATCTTTATATACTGCTTTTAGATCCACCCTCTCTTTCATTAGTGCAGTAGATCCATCCTTCTATCTGTCTCCTAATGTCCTTCGTGTAAAATGTGACAGATCTTCTCAGAAGAAGAGCAGAGATCTTCAAAGATCTGCCTTGTCAGGTTGGAATTGATGGGAACTTAATGCTAGAACTACGTGGTTTTGTGGGGCCTAGGAGAAGAGTAAATCCAGAGGTTTTCTAAATTATATCTCATCCTCTTCTGAGTAGCTAATTCTTGTCATTTGATTCTTACCTCAGCTTGAAAGTCTGTAATATGACTGGACTGTTCTAATGATTACAAGAAATGCTTTGAGGTTTTTCGGGTTTCATCAGCTTTCAGGTGATAAATATTTAATATTAATACTTAATACTTCGCAGTATCTTTTTAGAGTTAAATGTGTGAACGGTCCCCTAGATACACAAATCTCTGTAGTGGGTCATTTGTTTCCTTCTTTCTCACCTTCTTACATCCTTGTGATCTCTCTTGCAGGTGATCGAGTAGCTGTTGAGCCTGGCGTCCCTCGAGAAATAGACGAATTCTGCAAAATTGGACGTTACAATCTATCTCCAACCCTTTTTTTCTGTGCAACCCCTCCCGACGATGGGAACCTGTGCCGATATTACAAGCACGATGCCAACTTTTGCTACAAGTTAGTTGCAATGTTTTGGGGGGACCATGTCATGCAGCTAAGCAATCTGAAACACTGACCTGTCAGTTCTGGGCTTAATCGACTTTGTGCAATGGGCAATTCCCTAAATGGGGAACTCGGGTTATGAACAGACAAAATCTCAACCCTGTAATTAAATTCGAAACCCAAATTACAACGCAATGGTACATAAACTGAGAATCTGAACATTCAGAACCAGCCCAGCATCAGAGACTCAATCTGAGATCTTTACAAGCAAAGCAAATGTTTTATCACAGCCTTTCCTTTCCCTAATGGATAGACAAAGCACTATTCCAGTTTTCTGCTGTTTTTTTTCTGGATCATTTCAGTGGTCTGGAAAGAAAAAAAACAATTTAATCACACGATAGTTTTGTGTGCATATTTCTAAAGCAGGCTGTAAAATTTAGGGATTAACTAACAGGGAAAGTAAAATGCTCGTTTAATTATGCATGGGATGGAGAACTTAAAAATGATTACAAATATTTATTTATTGAAATGATTTATACGGCTGCTACATCGCCAGTGGTGGGATTCAGCCGGTTCGCACCAGTTCGGCAGAACCTGTAGCTAATTTTTTCTTGCCCATTCCCAGAATGGACTTCCGGAAGCGGCATCCACACAGAGAACCGGTTGTTCACCTATTTGAATCCCACCACTGTACATCACACAGGAATGACCCTGGGCAGTGTACAACAATTAAAGCGAACCATTAAAAACCAACATTCGTCCATTAAGGAGTGTTTGAGTTCAGGGAAATATTTCTGTCCACAAGCAACCAACCAGTAGAACTAACTGAGTGTTCTGGTCTGATGCTTGGGACAACATGATAACAGAGAGATTGGTAATGAAGAAACAAACAAACTCTTTTCAAAAATCCACTTTTGTAATTCTGCAAGAGGCAATAAGAGAATATGATTGCATATCCCTTTTCCACCGCTAACCCTTTTCCTCTGCAGTTCTTAATAATTCCTTGAATGTTGTCATAATGTTTGAGTATTTTTTTTTGAATGTTGGATAATTTTTTAATTCTTTGTATATTTTAATAATTCATCGAATGCCTTTTCTCTCTCTCCAATATTGTCTAGAACTTTACTTTCTGGGCTTCAAAGTCCTGTGGCAAGTAAATAGAACTTTCTCCTTTGGTAGTTAAAGAGATTGGGAGTTGCCAACAGGGCTGCGTTCCCTATTTTTTTTTTTTATGTTGTCCAAGGAACAGTTTTCAGACCCTGGAATCTGAGCTAAAGATTAAGACTCCTCTTAAAATAGCAGAACTCGTATGCATACAACAGCAACGCCCGCAGGCAGTTAGGACTGGCTGATCTAAAAGCATGATAATGCCAGTAAGATTAACCGGAGCTTTGAAATAAAGGAAGTAACAGTCTTACTACACACCATTTGTTTGCAGAATCTCTTGTGGCTGAGAGTTTTGAAGAAGTAATTGTATATGTCAGTTCCAGAAGGATTAAACGGTTGGCCTGAAATTCATCCTTTTTCAGAAGAGGTTACTGAACCTCTAATTACTGCAAATCAATTGCAGGAGGAAGGACTGTCACCCTATGGCCCAATGGCCCTTGACATGCTTACCTAAGAGGGGGGGGGGAATATTTATTTATTTATTTATTTTTATTCACTTATTAAATTTCTGTGTAAAAAAGTTAAAAGTTAAAAGGCCCTAAAACAATTAAAATTTGTTGTTGTTGTTAATTGCGAAGTCGTGTCCGACCCATCGCGACCCCATGGACAACGTTCCTCCAGGTCTTCCTGTCCTCTACCATCTTCTGGAGTCCATTGAAGCTCACGCCTCCTGCTTCAGTGACTCCATCCAGACACCTCATTCTCTGTCGTCCCCTTCTTCTATTGCCCTTAATCTTTCCCAGCATTAGGCTCTTCTTCAGTGAGTCCTTCCTTCTCATTAGGTGGCCAAAGTACTTGAGTTTCAACTTCAGGATCTGGCCTTCTAAAGAGCAGTCGGGGTTGATCTCCTCTAGGACTGACCGGTTTGATCGCCTTGCAGTCCAGGGGACTCTCAGGAGTCTTCTCCAGCACCAGAGTTCAAAGGCCTCAATTCTTTGTCGCTCAGCCTTTCTTATGGTCCAATTTTCACATCCATACATTGCAACTGGGAAAACCATGGCCTTGACTATACGCACTTTTGTTGGCAGGGTGATGTCTCTGCTTTTTAGTATGCTGTCTAGATTTGGAAAAGATGAAAAGTTAAAAGATGAAAAGGTATTGGATAGCACTGAAAGATTAAAATAAATCAAGAGTCCCAAAGGAGCCTAAAGTAGAATATATATTTCGCACACATGAACACAGAGGGCCCAATAGGGATGTGTTTTGGAGTCAGTGTTATTCAACATTTTTATGAACTGTCTAGATCAGGGGTCTCCAAACTTGGCAACTTTAAGACTTGTGGACTTCAACTCCCAGAATTCCAGGGGGAATTCTGGGAGTTGAAGTCCACAAGTCTTAAAGAGTTTCCAGGTTTGGAAACCCCTGAAATAAAATGATTAAAAAGACTGGATCAAACTTTCCTTACATGTTCTTTCCATGGGTTGGGACAAAAGGACCCAGAATGCCCAGCTGTTCTGTTTAGACATGGTGAGACATACATTCCCCAGATATCTATAGTCAACTTGGTTGAGGATGATGGGTCCAGATGACAGTTTCAAGGAGTGACAATTAACTAGCTAGGTAACAAGTAACTTTAGCATCTTGGGTTTGTGCTTAATTTGTGTGTTAAGCCATTGCTCGTAGTCTTTTAATGTTTTATGGTTTAGATATTTGGAGATATGGAGACTCTGGTTCCTACTTTACACACACTAATGGAAGTTCTCTGGTCTGTTTGGTCTTCTTGCAGACTTCCAGATAATGTCACCTTTGAGGAAGGAGCTCTTGTGGAACCTCTTTCAGTTGCAATTCATGCCTGTAGAAGAGCTGAGGTGACCCTGGGTAGCAAAGTCTTCATTTGTGGTGCTGGTATGGAAAGACTTTGGGATTTCTTTGATATTTCTAAACCTGGTGTATCATATTTGTCCCAATGGATGCTTCTTCCCGGACACGAAAATCACCTCCATCATCTTCATAACTGATTTGGAGGCCACTTTGGATGTGGCATCCAAATTTCTCTCCCCAAAAAAGTTCTCCTGGTGACCCTGTCGCTGCTTTTTTTAAAGCAAAATCACGTTGACTATGGTGTTTTTACTGTTGCCCATCAGTGCTCTTTTTATAATGTGCTAATCCAGTTTTGGTCACCACGATGTAAAAAAGATGTTGAGACTCTAGAAAGAGTGCAGAGAAGAGCAACAAAGATGATTAGGGGACTGGAGGCTAAAACATATAAGGAACAGTTGCTGGAATTGGGTATGTCTAGTTTAACGAAGAGAAGGACGAGGGGGGACATGATAGCAGTGTTCCAGTATCTCAGGGGCTGCCCCAAAGAAGAGGGAATCAAGCTATTCTCCAAGGCACCTGAAGGCAGGACAAGAAGCAACGGATGGAAACTAACCAAAGAGAGAAGCAACCTAGAACTAAGGAGAAACTTCCTGACAGTTAGAACAATTAACCAGTGGAACAACCTGCCTCCAGAAGCGGTGAATGCTCCAACACTGGAAGTTTTTAAGAAGAGACTGGACAGCCATTTGTCTGAAATGGTATAGGGTTTCCTGC